AAACTTAGTCATTTTTTTTCTTGACTAATTGCTTACACTGCACAAGCAAATCTTTGAACATTTTCCCTGTTTTAAGATGCCCTACTCAAAGTCCTCCTTTTAAATGTACATGTCAAAGCTAATTTTACTCATCCAATAGCTGAATGTAACAAGGATACTGCAATATCTCAAGTACTGAAAATGCATTATTGTTGCCAACACACCATTTCTCTCTAGCATTTTCTCAGTATTCCTTCATCTATAAAGAAAAAATACTTCAAAGTACTTTTCCATTATGTAGCTTGCAAGACTTTAAAGTTTTGTTCAGTCAGATATTTAAACATTCTAAAACAAGTAACTTCTCCAAGTATGCTTTGACAATTTTCCCATCATTTTTCTACCACTACAATAAGCAAGAGCTAATCAACAACCTTTGAGGCAGTCCGGCAGTTTTCCCCTATGTCACCCAAGAAAATTCTGCTATTATGAAAAAACATTATTAATGCATAAGCTATTTTTTTTAATATATTACCAGTATGTTTTGGTATGGATCATTTGGGGCTTCCATTTTTTTTTCTCTCTAGAATTACTAAGCTGAAAATCTAAATGGGCCAGAAGTACAATGTTCAGCTTAATTCTGGATTTTTCATAACCCCATTCTAGAATAAATCATATTGGGAGTGTTTAAGGTTGCAACATTCTTCTTCAAAGCATCCATTTTTTTCTATCCTCAGCAAAGAACTCTCCAGATCTCTCTCATGCTAAGAGAAAAAGCTCATGAAAAATATTTAGAGGATAACTGCTGAAATAACATGTATATAATCAAGAGAGACTTGAAGAAAAGACAGCCTTTAAAATCCAGTGAAAAAATGTCTATTTATTTCTCCCTTGAAACCTGATTTGAAGTATTTCCCTTTCCCTCAGAAACAATGGCAGATCTATTTCTCCTCTGAAGAAAGGAAGAAAAAGAAATCAAAAAGTAGATTTTCTTTGAAGACCACAGTATGGGAAAGGTATATTCATATATTTACAGATAATACAGTCCAGTAGAGATGACATATGAAAAGCCCACAATGTGAACATTTCTGGTACCAAAGGCAGGAAACTTTTTTCAGGCTGATAGACTCAATGACTTAATTTTAAAACACTGGGCTCCTCTGAAAGTATATCATTATTACATCATGACTGTGTGCAAAAATATAGTTTTCTCAATTTACCATTTAAAAATGCAGTAACCCTTGATTATCTCTAGATTTATTTCGTATTTTTCTACCCATAAACCCATAACCTTCACAGTCCACCCTAATTATTGCCTTTTTGATAATCTGCAGCCCATGACATAACTGAACTGGGTTTTAGGATCTTGGCCAAGGAACAGAGTTACAAACATTCAAAAGTCCTGAAGGCCTTATATGAATTAAATTGCTCTTAATTTGACTGATTTCTGAAAGTGCATCATTAACTGGACTTCAGCAACATGCTCTCAGTGAAAGAATCCTTGGAGTCCAGTCATACTGAGCATCATGAACAGACTTGTCTTTGGGAGAAATTCTATGACAGAAAATTTCTCATAATTAAAAAATGTGAACATTTATTTATCGAAGATCCAATATAATCATTCTCCATATCAGATGCTTATACAATGAGATACATCTTGAAAAAACTAAAGATAATCAAGGATGCGAACCAGAGGTAATACAAGGTTTTTAAACAGAGAATTATGACTTAAAGGATCATCTAGGGCTATTTCCAGCATAAGTATAGTTGGTTCCCCATAAGTCAATGACAGAGGACTCAACTAATGATTTTTCCCCAAAATCATTCCATTATTCTCAAAAGTGAATTGCAAGAGTTCTTTCATCATGAAAACCAGTCTTGATCCCTCCCCCTCAAAAGAAAATAAGCTTAGATCAGCCAAAAGAAGTCAATCTTATAAAAGTACCTTCAAAATAAAACAAACCGTGAGTGCTGAGTGGAATTATAATTTGCCTTATACTGAAATTCTGGTTTTGGTGGAGTCGTGTAATAATAGTGTATGACCACACATCAGTATGAGTTTGACTTTCAGCTTGACTTTCTTCTTCAAATAAGGTTATCAGCAAAAAAGTCTATATCATGTTTGATCTCTATAAATCAGGATATCAAAGAAACTGCAAGAACACTGAGGCCAGGCACCTCAAAAACAAGTCAAGATCATTAAGTCCCAGCTAACTGGCAATCATGTCTCTCTCATAAAATACAGCTCAAGGCAGCACAATGCAGATAAAAATCAGGTGAAAGCATTCACACTTCCAAAGCTGACTCTTTTAACCACAAAGAGATAAAGCTAGTTGGTAACAGCTGCTGGCCTTTCTTTAAGTTGTGAAGCTGAAAATTGCGTCATGAAAGAAGCTTCCTAAGTCTTAGTATGCCTGTCCTGCTAATGATCTCTACCTAAGAAAAAGTGTTGGTATTCCATATGCTAACAAGCTGCCACAAAAAGTAATTCTTAAAAAAAAAGAAAAAAAAAGGCAAAAAAAGGCCCAAAATCTCACAGCTACATGGACTATATTTGACAACATCTACCATTATATATCATTATATACTTTATCACTGGTTAGGTTCTTGTGTTAATTGAAGAAACATTGTTTCTGCTGAGATCATGCGAACAATACAGATCTGTATAGACCTGCCATAACTGACAACCTAGATGCCAATGTGTGAAGTGCTCCTGCAAGATATCCAAAGTTTAACAGCTACAAGAATGCTCCATTTAGCACAGATGGGGAGAGGGGTAAAGGCAGCTGATGACCAGTGAAAAGTTTCTAAGTGCATAAAAAGTCATGAGGAGAATGGTAGCAGACAAAACCACCTACTGTTACAAATAGCATCTATGTCTCTTTTCCAGACACCTAACTGCACAATAATTTACCCTTATCATTGACACTGAAAGACATTTTGCAGTTGAGTATTTCCAAAGGGCTGAAAGGGTAAAAACAGGGAAAGAAAAAGGCACAGAGTTCTTTGCACAAATTATAACTGTACAGACTTGCTATCAAGGGCAGCTGTTGCAAAATACCCAGACTTTCATGAAAAGGTCCGATTCTCAGAAACACAAGCCAGAAGCCAACTTATCAAAATCTCTATCAAAAATACAATTTTAGCATCTGTTCAGACTTTCACTTATCTCACAGCTCCCAGACATTATTGATTATCACTATCTGCAACTCCATAGTATTAAGAACAGTGGGCAAAGGGAAATGAAAGTGAGCATTTTCATACAAATACAGTTACATGCTGCTTGGGGAGCATGAAAACTGCTGCTGCTGGCTGAAATGCATATCTGACTTCATTTTTATTTTTCACTTTACATCATCTCATCCTCCGTAGACACTGACAATAGAATGGAGTAAAAGTCTGAAAGTAAGACATTTATTAAAACTATATTGAGAAATAAAGGCTTTATGCATCAAAAAGGCATTACGTTATCAAATATCAGTTGTTTTCTGCAATACCCTTGCTGAAAGCGATGACTGTTGTCTTTCTTCAGTTGAATAGCCCCCTCCAACCCTTAATATACTGCGTACCTGACTGGAACACAAGAACAGGCTACAAAGTGTAGGGACAACACTGCACTGCTGGAGAATGAAACTCCTTCAGCAAAGTAATGTCGTGTTTGCCTAGGAAAACTAAAATATTTGGAAAGTTAGGACCCACAGCAGGAACGCTGGATATAAGCTTGAAAACATTTCAACAGTTAAGCATGATTATTCTCCAAGATTTCAGTCCTTCGCAATCTTGCTAGCACCCTATATGCCTCAAAGCTAACTCTGTGATATAAATGTATGTAGTTTTGGAGTCAAAGGAGAAAAGATGGGGCAAGCAGAAAAGAAAAAGATCTCTGTTCATTCTGCTTCTATTCTGTTAGTAAAGTGTTGAAAATCAAAATAAGAAGCCTTCACATTTTTTTGCAGAATGAAATACTATACTTTCATACCATGAAAGTAAAATCTATGGTTGTGAGAAGCATTAAACACTAGGGGAGTTTCAGTCATCGAACAGTTCTCTAACTTTATGACAAATTACCCCATAAATGAGGCAGCCCGCAGTGCCCAAGACTCCTTGTGTCTTCCTGTGCTAAGTTGGCTCACAACTATAAACCAGCCTTCAGCATGATATATGAAAAAATAGCTCGGCTGCAATCTGGTGTGCAACTTCACATGCAGGCTCAAAAGTTAGATGAGCTCCGTTTCAATTCTATACCCACTTGGATCGTTGCAAGATTTTTGGAAAATACCTCTCTGTGTTCAGTATTCCCTCCCTCTACCCATCCAAGTAGTTTATACTTGCATCACTATTGAAAATTGTCCAGATAAAATATTTTCATGTGTCATTTAAATTATTGATCACAGGCTAATCTGAATATGATTGCTTCATTTTTTTTCCTCTGCAGTTTAGGGGAAACAAGTTTATCCAACAAAACAAAAAAGTAAAAATGTGCAAATTAGCTTCATACATGGTGTTTAGAAAGAAGGATATTGAGTTCTAATCAACACAAGTTCTGGACACGGGATCAGTATAAATGTATTCCTCTGCACATCATTCTTGGCCAAGAGCATCTTGAATCTGACCACTTGTCACCTAGGTCTTTATAAGAGCATTTTTTCTTTTTAAGGTGGACACACATACACACAAATGTATGCACAAACACACATACATAAGATATACGCACGTATGCAGGCATATAGGCCATACTGCAGAATCATCCAAATCACTACAGCTGTGACACTATAAGGAGTCTCAGTAGGTCTCTGGAGCATAAGTATCAAATATTTTAGCATTTCCTTTTCCAAGTCCTCTCCAGTGACCAAATAATACAAAGATTCCTTTCTGAGAGGTCTCATCCCTTCCCTGTGTGAAGATGAGCTTAGCACTGGAGAATCTCTAGCGTTCAAGGCTTCAGCACAGGCAGAGGAAGCCCGTGACCTGGAATGGGGGCAGAGATTTTGAACACAACCGAACCGAGTGACTTCAATACTTACTTGGCAGGCATTATAAATCAACTGGTGTTCCAATTTTTTGATCCCTAGAATCTGTTGAAACATTTCATAAAGCTGTTCCTTGCTCAGAATCAGCTCCGAGACAGCACTTAACGCCATTCTATTCGGCTGTTTGCAAAAGTCCTCTTCTCCCCTGTATATGGCATCGTATTTGGCTAGCCAGGAACTTAACACCGTCTCTTTGCTTAATCCGTCTATTTCCGGCAGACTTCGGACCCTTTTTTCTATGTTTTTCTTAAAAACATCTCTAAAGTCATTTGCAGAACATCCTCCACTGTGAACCATTCTTGCGACCCGGTCACTCTTGAGAAATACCTTTGAAAATAAAATAATAAAACAAAAAGAAACAGAGTTACATGTGGACACAAACATAACACAATCCTCTATATAAAGGGATTATGAGATGGTGTTTTGTTTGCATGCAAAATGGCTTCATAAGAAAAATTAAACAGGCTAATGTTGGCTATATTTTTCATATAAAAAAGAGTGAACATTTTTAAAAATATATTTTTCTGCATTGAACAAATACTTCGAGTACATTTAAAGAAGATCAGCATAAATTTGCAATAGTTCCATTCCAATAAAGTTTGAATTAACAGCATCTAAGTGACAAGATTTCTCTTCTCCATAAGAACCACAGAAGGATACTTTCTGGTAACTCATGAAGAAGCTGCTGTCTGAAAATTTGGGGAGTATAATAATGAGGGAAAAAATCACCTACAAAACAGCCAAGAATCTCATGGAAGATTTTAAAAAACAAAACACTACAAAAATACTACCACTAACAATAGGAAAAAAAAATCAAAGATATAAAACTAGTTTACTACTGTAGGCATTACAGACACGATAGAGGAGTCTTTATGTACAAACAAACCGACTACAAAAAAAAAATCCTTCAAAATACACACATCATGAAATATGACAAGGCAAATTACAAAGCAAATCAACTAAATTATTGTCAGCATTTTATAAGAGCTATTCAGAGCTCATGAGTAGTTGCACCCATCTCTTAACAGTTGCCTTGGCAAGGTTGACCCTTACAGCTACCATGTGTGGACAGCTCGTTTCTAGGCGGAAGCCACTGGAATTCTTTCTTCTGCAAGGTGTAACCAACAGGGAGATGAACATGGTGGCACCAGCAACAGTGCAAATGCCAGACTTGGGCCTTGGACAGGGGATGAGCTACATCAGCCCATCCCACAAGCCCCCTTTGGACAAGCAGCTGGCTCCCCATGGCAGGAGGTGGCCTTGCTCCCTGCATGGCTCCAGCATGTGGGGCTGCTCCTCCAACCACAGTGACACTCCAAGGACTGCTAAAGTGCAGTGAAAAAGGTGTGATGCTGCATGGTCTAAAGAGATTTTCCTTCCAATCTGACCATTTACAGTTTTCAGTCAGCTGCTATGAACTGGAACAAAAAATGACTGTACTTTTTCAGATAATGTTTATAACAACATTGAGTGATTAAAACACAACTCATGAGGATAACAGCACTGCAGAGCTGTTATTCCACATAGCATCAGACAGAAGAAGACAGTGCACCTAAAACAACTTAAAAATCACTGTTCTCCATTGGGAAAATACTAAAATTGGGGGTAGAAGAAGACGTAAAAGGCTGGGCAGAGAAGTACCTAGGCAGAAGCTATTCAATACATTCAAAAAGTGCTGGTCCTTGCTGATCCATTTTTATCCTGTAGAATATTTCAAAATGCAGTTACTTACAAAGTAGATCTTTCAAATGATATCCTAATTCATACTGAGAGCTGCAGATTACAACTGAAAGAGCTGGCACCAAAACATGATTAGAGGAGACATCACCGATATCTGCTAATCACATTTTGTGCTCTACCTATCATGTGGGATTTTCTTTTTGGAAACAGTAGTTAGATAGCTTAAACTTTTATCCATAAAGACAGCTGACATGGTTATTGCCAGTTCATATCGATATCAATTTCTTCAAAATGCTATACAAATATATAATATACAATCTTATTTAAAAAGATAAACATAGCAATAAACCTTATCAAAATAAATTATACACAGATTATATCTTTTCTTGTTTTAATGCTCTGCAATTAAAATTAATTAATTCTTCCATCAGTTTTACACAAAACAAATAGAAAAAAAAATCAAGATTACTTCAAACTACCTTCAGCTGTTTTCTGTTGTTCACAAACAGCATTAAAACTTCTATCACATTAATTTGCATACCTCATGAGAGAAAGCATTTGCAGAAGGATAAAGCTGGGATGTTACAAAAAGTCTCCCCTCATAAAAGCTCATGTTTTCCCAAGATTACAAAACCCTCAAAACCCTTTAATTGACAATATCAGTCTAAAAAACAAACAAACAAACAAACAACAAAAAAACCACCCTTCCACAATACACACACTGTAAGATCAACATAGTATCCTTTACCTTCTCACAACTTGATTTTGGTCATATTATTCAGAAAGATTAATTTCATTTTAAGGCCTGAAAAGCCACGAGCATTTTTCTTGACTTTCAAACCAGACTAATTCAAAACTTACTTCTGAATTTGATCTTAATTTTCTAGGAGGTTGTAGGAAAAATCTGCTCAATTTTCTAATACTTATGGGAGTATTTATGGGAATTGCTACTAGCTGGAGCATGTCATGCTGCCAGTTTCATGGCTTTGGAATTATTCAACAATGATAACCATCTCCACCAAACTGGTATACATACTTTATACCATATTGGAAGTACTTTCTTGTCAGCATTCATTGCTCCTGTGAGATTCCTAAGCTTTTATATACCTAAGGTAGTCCTCCGGATCCGCTCTTCAATGTAGATTATATGCATGGCCCAATTATCTCTATGAGACAAGGTATTTGTGTTGATATGTATGAAATACATACGAAATACTGACTAAACACACTCACTGCTCTGTCAGCTGTTCCTTCCTTACTTTACGAAATATTTACTGTTTCTATCAACATTTTTGGGATGTCCTCTAAGAAATTCTGAGTTGCCACTGTGTGCCATTTGAATTTTTAGTATTGTTTTTGCATCTTTGAATCTGGGTTAACGCTAACACTCCACGTTACCCACTGCTACCAACTCATCCAAAACCAAGAACTGCAGGCACTGTTAAATCATGCAATGCCTACAGGAAAAAGAGGACAGTTAAAATAAGTTCTGAAAGGTTGAATATATGCACCCTTTTAATCCACATCATTCAGATTCCCTTTAAAAACTCCTGAAGCAACATGAAAGCCCAAGCCATGAATACAGTCTTTGATACAATTCTCATATCAGAACCATCTGAAGGTGACCAGGCAAGGAATTTTAACAGGACTAAATATTGCGTCATCTTCCCTTATAATTACAAGGACAATTATTTGTTGGGCATATTTACTGAAATGAGGTTTAAATTTAATATTTAACCTGATTATTATATATACACAGTTTCAGTTTTAAATGCTTGTAAAAAACTTAATTCAAAGTAGCTTTTAGCACTGGATACTTGCATAAAAAGTGCCTTTCTGCTTAGAAACGAAAAAAATTATCAATTAGAAGTAGCTACAATTTAAGAAAAAATGAGGAATTTTAAAGAAAATAATGTTTATATCTTCTAACCATTACCTCTTGCATAACAGTATTTCTCTTTATTGAACGTGATCTCAAGCATAAGGAATTACCTGTGCAGAACACACAAACAGAACAATCATTTTGTCTACAGAAAAGCCTAGAAAAATCACAATATGCAAAAGAGTTTGTACAAACTCAACAGTAGCTATTCTTAGCATTTTATTTTTAAAAGAAGTAAATATGAAGCCTACTTGGCCAGACATCACAAACTTTCATACATGCTTTCTTTCATGTAAGAGATACATACTGATTCATTTTTTTTAATGAATATCTCCTTTTTAGCCAGCTTAGAAAGCAAAAAGTTAGAAGTACTTATGGTGTTTCTATTATTTTTGTGTAAATTCTGCGTGATTCTGAAAAATCACACTTTGCAATCTTGCTAACATACTACTTAGCAAGATCGTTCATCATCTTTGTTCTATGCCAGTTCTTCTAGCAAAGCCAGAGTCAGCTTAGGTTCACTACCAACCGGCAACAAAGCCAGCACTGATTGAATTATTATTGCAAGTTCTTTTATTCTCACTCAGAAAACTTCACAGAAATGTTTGAAAGAGAGAAACTTTGTGAAGTGGTGATGTAAGCCCTTTGTTGTTGATTTTGTTGTTTAAACAAGGGACTGAACAAATGCAAAGCAAACCTGTGTAAGGACATATGAAAATGCTACCTCAAAAAAGCTAATATGGGAATTTACAGTATATGCCATGCTCCACACTCACTCTCACCTGAACCTATTTTTCAACATAAACACTAAAATTTTATTCATCATGAAGTATCAGTTTTGGTTTGTTAAAATGATATTTATATACATATATGTTTACATATCTATCTACATGTCTATATACAAATGAGAACACACATTTGCACACAAACAGAAATTATCCAAGTCAGTCATATTCATCAACTATCCATTTTGAATTAAAAAGAAAAAGAATTCAACTAAAATTTACTGCTTCTTAAGTTTTGAGTGCAGCTTTTATATGGCAACAAAATGTAGGTTTCTTTTTCTTTCAGCACAATTTTCAAAATCTTGTAAAATTAAGAAGGGGCAGAAGGACCACAAACATGTTTTCTCACTCTCTGAAAAACAAAATCATTACTCATAGACAGATGGTCTTTCTACACCTTGTACCCAGCACACCTGGTCTGGGATTCACCTCTTCATTAGGCAGAGGAGCACTGAGAACTTCATTTGCCACAGAAACAACAAGAGATTTTTCTTCATTTTTTTGGTCACTGCTGTTACTGTTGCTTTGATGAGATTACACTGAACATGTCTTACATTTTAACAGCAAGGGCTCAACGATTCTCTTGTGTAAAAGAAGGCTGCAGCTCCAAATGCACACTACCACTCTGGGCAGTAAGGGTCCACAAACATCACATCTCTTGCTCCAGCTGAACTAGCTTCCTGATTTAGTTAAGGAAGTTCAAGGTGGCTAATTGCTTTTTCACTTTCATTACATTCTGCCATTTCTGGATCTGAGTCTTTGGTATCCTGCATTGTCTAGCAGAGTAAAAAGTAAAATAAACTAGATCAAGGGGGACCCTAAAAAGTGATTCACCCAAGAGTCATGGCAGTTTCCTACTTCTATTGATAAGATTATTCATATGCCATGAATTAAGTGCAAAATGTTCACACCTTTCAGCTTGCCATTCACAACTGGACCAATATCTTTGGTACTCTCATAGACCACGGGAAATGCTTCATTTCCTGCACCTGGAAAACCATCCATGACTGCACTAGCTTCTCCATTTGCTCTTGTAAACCTGTTCTTGTGAACAGGTCCCCTCATTATGGGAGCTGGCCAGGTCTCCATTTCTGCTGGCGTCATGAAGTTTGTGGAGGAGCTGCAAGCATTGTGGATTGGTCCCTTGGGCAGCACCACCACCAGACTTCAATGATGAAGTTCTCCCAAACACTCCATACTCTGCCGTGGACAGGTAAATCCTCTGTCACAGTGGACAATCTTGTTTTTAACCTTCCCTGCCCAATTCTAAACACCCCATAAGGATTTTGGTCATATAAATGAATGGAAGTACCTCTTTGATAAAGACTAAACAAAGGCTCAGTCAAAGCAACGAGGGCTAAAAGGGCAAGGGACTTTGATGGAAATCCCAGGAATACTCCAGTTTGGTTCTATTTTCTGGTGTGCTTTTTACAGTTATCAGAAAAGCAAAAGTGAAGTAAAAAGCATGAGTTTCACTCACAGAGAAACAAACTTCTGTTGAGTACAGAAGAAACATATAAAATCGATAAAGGTCTAGAAGAATTTGCTGAAGCTAACACTAGATTTACAGTATGATCTCTGATTAAAACATTTTTAGAAGTATTACAGAAAAAGATCACATAAATATCAGCTATTCTTACAGTTTTATGATTGAATTCTTTTTTTTTTTTTTTAAAAAAAGAGTAAACCTAAAAGAGCAACTAGAGAAAAAAAAACATTAAAAAGATGTCTATGCTGTCAGGATCCTTTGGACAAAGAAAAGTTATACTGAACAACAGACTCAATATTCAAACATTCTCCATAACAGATACCATAATCATGTTCCTGTGTTGCATTCAGTCGGAAAGCATATGCTCTGGAGTTTTTAATACATAGAATAAGAGAAAAGTTCAGTATTTTTCAGAGGTAGATTAAATTCTACAAATTCTGGAAGAGTTATTTCTCACTTCTCACTTTCAAAGTGAGAAAGTGACTTTCTCCTTTCCAAAGACATCTTTAAAAATGGTATATTTAAGGCTTTATTCAAGTTTTAGAAAGGAAAACAGATAATTGCTAGAACAGCAGATAATTGCAGGAACTATGAGAAAAAAGTTTCTTCCTTCTTACGTGACACACATCATATCTTATCTCCTCATAATTTACTTTTTAATTTTTTAAGGCCATGTGCTGTATCTGAATTGTGTTTTGATGCAAAACAAAACCTAAGACTGTGAAATAAAAAATAGCATCTTTGCTGCTACTGCTGTAGCTCTACAAAGCCTTTCCTACACAAACTCATAAGCAGCTCTACCTGTAGTCAACAGCCCTTGTCCATTTCTCCCTAGAGTTTTTCCTGTTCCATGCTGAGTCAAAATGTTCCTCATTTCACCCATTACTATCAGCAATGGGTCTGGGTCCAACTCATACTATCCTCTAAAGTTCTATTTTATTCTGTATTTTATGTGCAACAGATAGAACTGTGAATTGGTGTTATCTTCATGAAAAAAAAAAAAGAAAAAAAAAAGATTCTGGACAATCTGGACAACAGAATCCTCATTAGAGATTTTAAGAACTAAGGCCTAAGGCCAGCAGAAATTAACATATATTGCAACCAATATTGTTTTAAGAGATCAAATTAACAAATCAGCATTTCTCCATTTCAATAATCATGTCATGATTCTGTTAATCAGTTATTTCTTCTCCCAAAAGCATACTACAGCTTATGCCTAATTCAGGAAAAAAGAAAATAAACCAACATTGCTTAAATAAAATTCTTGAATTTTGGTTAATTGCAATTCTTCTCCCCCCCTCCTTTAAATGTCATTTTAAATTAAGTTGAGGAAAGGCAATCAAATTCACAGTAATGAATCATCACTCTCTTAAGAGCTATATTTATTATTCATTTCTCCCCCCAATTTTTCATATAATTTTCCTACAGTTATGAAGTGAATTAAAAATGATAATTCTTTATCAAGAGCAGTGGTTCAAAAAACCATCAAAAGTTAAAATTTTTAGAAGGTTTGTTTTCTTCAATTCCTTTGGGAAATATCATGACTGTATGCTGGACATTTCTCACAGCTTAGCAACCAGCAGTCTGGAAGAAAGAAAAAAAAAGAAAAGAGAAGGAAAGAAAAGAAAATACCTGAAATGTGTGCTACTTCCCTAGATTTATACGCTTCTAAGCATATTACACAACAACATGCATTGGAACTTGTTTCTTGCCTTCTTTTTCAAATTGGCACCAGAAGCTACCCAACATCTTTCTGAATTTCTCTTCTTGATGGCTACACATTCACCTTCTCGTGTACTGCAGTGTTCATGCCTGGGGCATAACAAGAAAC